CCTTCCCCCCCTCGATAACCTCCTCAGTCGCGTCAACAGGGTCCCATCCTTACTGTACACACCTTGGATGGTTCCCTGTTTCCCCCTCCTGAGGTGCCGGAGGGTCTTCCAGAAGCACTTTGGTGCAGACCGAAAGTCCTTCTCCATAGTTACCCCGAACTCCTCCCATACTCGCTGCTTTGCCTCCATCACGACAGCGGCTGCTGCCCTTCGAGCCTGTCGGCACACTGCAACTGCCTCCGGAGTCCCACCGGATATCATAACCCGGCAGGCCTCTTTCTTCAGTCGGACGGCTTCCCTGACCACCGGTGTCCACCACAGGGTTCAAGGGTTACCGCCCCTTGATGCACCTAAGACCTTGAGGCCACAACTCACTGCCACGTCAGCAATGGAGGTTTTGAACATACACCACTCTGGTTCAATGTCCCCTACCTCCACAGGAATGTGAGAGAAGCTCCGCCGGAGGTGTGAGTTGAAAATCTTTTGGACCGGGGCCTCCTCCAGACTTCCCAGTTCACCCTCACCACACGCTTGGGTTTACCGGGTCTGTCCCGTGTCTTCCCCCATCCCCTGACCCAGCTCACAACCAGATGGTGATCAGCTGACAGCTCTGCCCCTCTCTTTACCCGAGAACATGCGGCCTCAGATCAGACGATACGATTACAGAATCGATCATTGATCTTTGGCCTAGGGTGCTCTGGTACCACGTACACTTATGAACATCCTTATGTTCGAACATGGTGTTTGTTATGGACAATCCGTGACTGGCACGGAAGTCTAGTAAAAAAAAACACGCTCGGGTTCAGATCAGTGAGGCCATTCCTCCCAATCACGCCTCTCCAGTTATCTCCATCGTCGCCAACGTGCGCATTGAAGTCTCCCAGTAGGACTATGGAGTCCCCTACTGGAGCCCCATGCAGGACTCCATTCAGGGTCTCCAAAAAGGCTGAATACTCTGTGCTGCTGTTTGGTGCATATGCACAGACAACAGTCAGAGTTTTCCCCCCCACCCCCCGAAGGCGTAGGGAGGCGACCCTTTTGTCCACCGGGGTAACTCCAATGTAGCAGCACTCAGCCGGGGACTTATGAGTATCCCCACACCCGCCTGGCGCCTCACACCATGGGCCACTCCGGAGAAGAGTCCAGGATAGGGGATGGACTCCAGAGAATAGAGTCCATCCCCTATCCAGGAGTGTGGTTCCAGAGCCGAGGCTGTGCGTAGAGGTAAGCCCCACCAGATCCAACTGATAACGCTACACCTCCCGCACAAGCTCCGGCTCCTTCCCCCCCAGAGAGGTTACGTTCCACGTCCCCAGAGCCAGCATCTGCCGCCCAGGTCGGTTTCCGTCTAGACCCCCCACTGTCACTGCCACCCTTGTAGCAGCGCACTCGACCCCATTGGTTTCCTCCACAGGTGGTGAGCCCATGGGGAGTAGAGTCTTGGGCTGCCACCGTCACTCCTTCGGGCTGTGCCCGGCCGGGCTCCGCGGTAAACCCGGCCACCAGACGCTCGCTGTCGGGCCCTCCATCTGTAATTATAATACACCTCTTACATAATAATCTAAAACAAAAAAAGAACAACATTCTTTTCCACAACTGGATGTATATACACATGTATATATGGAGCTGCTGTGTGTGTGTGTGTGTACTACACACACACACGTCACGGGTCGTCGTGGCGCAGGGGTTAGAGAAGGTGTGCTGGGAAGCACAAGGTTGGTGGTTTGATTTCAGGCTGCCCCATGTCGAAGTTTCCCTGAGCAAGACACCTAACCCCTAATTGCTCCCCGGGCAAAAATGTGAAAAAGCCATGGGTTTAAAGTGTAATGTAAGTCGCTTTGGATATAAGTGTCTGCTAAATGACCTGTAATGTAATGTACTAGAGTACCAGTCAAAAGATTGAAACAAACAAATATATGATCTATATATATATATGAATTAGGGCTGTCATAATAGCGCGTTAACGGCGTTGATTAGTTGTTTGTTGTTAATTACGTCAATTTTTCTAACACTATTCACGTATGCGCAGTGGGACAAATTATCAGGTCAGGAAAGTACCTCTTCCTCTAGGGAATGCACTTCCTCTTATAGAACACATTACTGCTACCTGCAGGGATACATCAGTACTCATCACAATAGACACTCACTAGGGAGGTGCCGTGCCGTTGGGAGCTAGAGGCGAGATGGAGCAAGGTGAGCAAAGTGGGCCTATGGACGGATTCAAATATAAAAAGAATGATGATGGTACAGTTAACAAGTACACGGTTATTTGCAAGATTTGTAACAAGGAGTTTCAATTTCACCGGAGCCGTTCAAGCTTGAGGTACCATGTCAACGCCAAACATGTGTTTGCTGGGCCGTCAGGCCTGAGGAGCGTCATTTTGCGGAGGCTTGTAAAGAACAGTTCCTGTCTGTTGCACGTAAGTGGGACATCGAGGGCAAGACGACAACCATTGGGACTGACAGTGCGCGCAACATAGTTGCCGCAATTAGACTTACACGCTATGAACACATTAACTGTGTCGCTCACATGGTGCAGAGAAGTGTCACAGTGAGTCTTGCTGACAGCGGCTTTGTAAATTCTTTGGCCAAGGCTCGCAAAGTTGTCGGTCATTTTTGGTACAGCCCAGCAAATGCTGCGGAGCTTCAAGCACAACAAGTCAGCCTGGGAAAGAAGCAAGAGCCACTGATCCAGGATGTTCCAACACGTTGGAATTCGACGCTGGAAATGGTCAAGCGCGTGAGCGGAAATAAAGAGGCCGTCATCGCAGCCCTGGACCATCAGGAGCACAAACTCGTTTTGCCGACCGCAGCAGAGTGGGATAAACTGCAGAGGCTGGAGACCCTTCTAGAGCCATGCAGGTAAATCAGTCTGTAACTTATCAAATAACATTGCTTTGATTATTTTCTGGAATGAATTGAATGAATGAATTAAAGTAAAATATCAATAACATGTATGTATGTAAAAAATAATGATGATAATAATAATAATAATGAT